GACTCCCTGGCTCAGTGGGTGGTGGGAACCAACAGTCTGCGGGGTTCAATCGTGATGTGAGTAGGTCATGTGCTGCTTTGCTCCGTGTTGGATGTGTGGACGCCCTCGTCTGCGCTCTGCCGCTGCCGTGCTGCCTGTCCGCTTGCTTCGGTTCGCTGTGCGGTGTGGCCATGTTGTTGGTGTTGCCTTGCGCTTCGCTGCTCCGCTGCCGTGCTGCTCAGCCGCTGGCCTTGCCTTCCGTGTTTGCCGCTTGTGTGCCCTGTAGGTTGGTTGCCTTGTTGCTGGTGCCTTGTGTTCTGCTCCATGGTTACCTGCTGGTCCGCTCGCCCTGTCGTCCCCTGCAGTGCTGTTGCCTTGCTTGTGTTGTCTTGTGCTTCACTTCACGGTTTCCGCACTGCATGCCCTGCGTGCCATGTCGTTCCTTGCAGTTGTTTTTGGCGTTGTGCAGTTGAGTTGCCTCTACTGTGTTCCCTGGTGCTTCACAGGGTTGCTGCCCGCTGCTATGTTCCGCTTGGGGACAGTCTGCCTTCAACAAGGGTCAAAGGGTTCATGACCCAAACCATCAAATACGGAGATTCCGCAGATTGTCGAGGGTTCAGCCTCCTGACGAGTCGGTGCAATTCCGACGAAACAATCTATCATCCTGGTCTTTTTTTTTTTTTTCGGTTGTTTTTGTTTGGGACTTTTTTTTCTTTTTTTTTTTTCCTGCTTGTTGGTTGTTGCCTTGCCCTTGTTTGGTGTGCCTGTGTATGGTCTGCCCTCCCGACCCCCCCATGCCCTCCAGCCGCTGTATCTTTAGTATCTACAAGTGGACCCGCTGCAGCCATGCTGCGGCCCAGGAGAGGAATGAACAGGGGAGTGGGGCTGTTGCTGATACACTGTTCGGAAGAGGCCGAGGAGAAGCGGCGGGGGAGGCCATTGTCTTGTAGTGCCATAGTCGTTGCAGGCTGCTGCAGGTCGTCTGTGACCGCTTGTTCCATGTGTTTGTCCTGGCCGATGGTTTTTCTTGATGGTTGGAGCCGGTCTGCATTGCACTCGTTGTGGATGTTAATTAGAAGAGAAAAAAAAAGAAAAAAAAGAAAAAAAACAGATACACAGAGAGAAAGACTGTGATAGAGAAAGAAGGATGGAGAGAGAGAGAGAGA